GCAAACAATTAGTTGTGGATCTGAATAGTATCTGCCGAACTGATGTACGTTCAAGAATTCATCCCACCTAGCTCTGAACATGATGAAGAAGGAAATCAGATTCAGAGTAGACCGTTAGAATGTCTAAGCAATGATCACAAACTGTAGGGATCGACAATGATGATATTTACCTTTTCCGCCTTGTCAAGGAGACCGGTACGAAGAAGCCTCCTGTTCGCGAAATTATCTGATGGGTATTATTTGATGGGTAGAACGCCTCGCATATCAGTTCAACTGGCCTCACGCCACACTTCCGTTGCCTGTGATGACCAGTCATCCTGAAAGACGAATCATTGTAAGTCCTATGAGTTTTTATGAGGCTGAAAGCGCTAAAGGAAATCCTAAGCGAGGAGGAAAGCAGGGCCTGACCAAATACTCCTGAAATTTTTCGGAATCGAGGTCTAGTTCAAGCAGTTACACTGACTGAGATCTCAAGTAGAATCTTTAAAATGAGCATGATCTCATCTAAATCGACTCAAATACTGATTGTCTCAGACACTAGAAAAAGAAAAATGTCCTTTTGTGACAGTCCGTCTAACAAATTTAACATCTAAAACATTTGGCTCAATAATAATTCGAGTCTTTTGCGCGTCTCATGATACGCAGACTAGAGAAAATCAGGCTTTTTCGATCTCTACAGGTATGTAAAGACCAGGTTTTCATACAATATCAGGTTTAAAGTGACATTATAAGCACCGATCGTTGGTGTTAGACATATCGAAGATTTTATTTAGAAGAGAAAAATTCGGTGACATAGAACTATGTGTATTTGTATTCCAAACTTGTTTGAACGACAGAAGTATAAATTAAAATGTCAATGTTCCCAGAGCATTGTTCAAATGAAATTAATCAAACTGAAGGATGGTTACAAATCACACTTGTCATAGCATGCATGGAATATTAATAAATAAACAAGTCTATAGCTATTCTCATTGTTTTAAACACAAAGTTTTTCACTGAGAGTTCAAACAGAAAAGCCTTACTTTGACGAATCATTTTTGAAGATTGTAGTGACGCCAACATTAAGGAAGAGACCACGAATGGTTCTACAGAAATATTCACCGTAACCAATCGACCTAGTAATTGTTTCACTGTATCTTTTGTTTATTCGAAATCCTCCCGCTTATGTTGTTGTCATTTTGGTAATGCTTATCCTTTATATTTGTATGTATCTATAGCACAATTTCGGTATTACTTCGATATCGCAAAATCGCCAGCAAATAAATTCCCTTGTATACATTAGCTTTTCTTCTCTGTCCTTGATATACGGAAGGTGACAAGAAAGCACTTAGCGTGCATTTCACAACCACAATAAAAGTATGAATATGATTTACTTTCAAGCTGAAATATTCTATTCATCTATATTTTGTGTGGATAGCAAATGGACGTTTTAAATCATTTATTACTCTGACTATGCTTACCCAAGGTTTTTTCATTTCAGACTGATAGATTAACGAACAATATTTAAGGCATAAACGGTTAGTGTTTTTGAGCAAGTCCGTTTTCTATTGCACACAGTAGCTTACTACTGTTTTTCACTCTTGCATTTTGATTTCAAAGAGTCAAATAATCAATTGTAACTTTGAATGCTTTTTGTTCTAGTGTACTTTTTTAGTTGATGGTTCGGTAAAATTACAGAATAATAATATTTGAATTCCAAATAGTTGTAAGATTAGAACGAAACCAACTTATTTTGTTTCGTATTGTCATTATTAACTGGAGCATATATCGCGTCTGATTTTTTATTTTAAAGTACGCGTTAAAAGTATTTTGAACTTTGCAACCCCAAAAAAATGAAACTAAGTACATGTTACGTATTTCATTCAGATTTTAAACAACCCATTTATGTGAAAAGTTCACATTTAGATTTAATTGAAATTCTACAAAGGTACGGCTATTTAAAATAACTTTTAAAAATCATAGATTACAACTTCCTGTGATTTAATTTCCGAAAAATAATGAGAAATTTGAGGGAGAAACCTTTTCATTATGCCGATTCCTTGGAATTGCTATTAACCCAGTATCAACAAAGTTTCGTTCAACCTAGCGGACGTAGCTGAAGGCGGATGGACTACGTGAAGTAAGGACACATTTATTCTGGTTAGAACACTGTTGCGCTATACGCTCATCAGATTGACTAGGTCCACCGCTCCTAACGGTAGTCGTGTCATGTCGCACAATGGTATATATCAACATAGTCATTAGTTCCAGCCGCTTCTCAAGTAATAATTGAATTTAGAAGAGTCCATGTTTCCACAACCACTGTCGCTCACTGAAAAACTTGTCAATGGGTAATGGTACGAGGATCAACGATTAAGCTATTAGACAGGCTATTTTAATCCATTGTCCATGGTCCTGTAGGATCTAAATTGAGGTTTTAACTGAGGAATAATTGTCCAGATAGTTAAAATACACTCATTGCCCAGGTTAAGACCAAAACAAATGATTTCGGTAAATGACGGTTTTAATAATATTCATAACTATAAATTAATATCATTACCTAAACAATTTTAACACTCGGGCTATTGCACCAATTATTTTCCAAATTTTCAAATCAGCAAGAACAAAGAGATGATATTCTGTCCCTCCTGGATAAATCAGTTTGGTTGTTCTATAACGCAGAGAGTTCCCTATTCTGTAAGACTGCTTCAATTCACAATCAAAAGTGCACAATTCCAGTCAAACTCAACTCAAGCAAAAGAAGAACAAATCAATAAGGCCGTTTTCATGACTAAGCATCAGCTTGAACAACACAAACGCAGTTCACAAGAAAACATAGAAACTCAGTAAATGCAGAAGAAACAGAGACTATAATAAAATTCAAATATTATCATCTGAAATGGAATCGAACAGATTAACGTTGTGTACAATAAGGACAAATCACAAATGTGTACACGGAGGGATTTTCACAAACAAAGCCTTCAAAAACGGATCTTACAGTCCCACCTACTAGTAGGACAGGTCTTGATAAGACTTACATAATATATTCTACAGGCGAAAGGTATGTACGACGTCCACAAGCAAACAACTCAAGCTTATTTGTACAATTATTAAACGATTCCGGTAAGCCAGAAAAAAGCGTACTGAAAAATCCATCAATTATTGGCAGTAAAGGATCTTCCGTCTGGTTAATTTGAGGTGAATGTCATCTAGGCGTCCAGCCATGCCACAGAAACAATCAAATTCAAAATTTTGGAAATGAACTGAAACGTTAGGAGCTTTCTTAAGTGAATTTAAGAGACCTAATAGCTCCAATAAGACAATATCATCACTGTTTACCTGCTTAGTGCTCTACAAGCTTAGAGTTCATGCGCGAGACTGAAACCTTGAATTTTGACTATTATTTAATCAGTTGCCAATATGCACTCTTGAGGAGTCCTCCATTGAGGCGAAATAGTCTCTCGTGATTTCAAGTTTACTGTATTGTTCTGAAACTGATGGATTCAAGACTTCAATGAAATTAAATATATTTTCTGTTCAGGTTTCTTTCTGTACATTCATTCTTCAACACGATTGGTTTTTCAGCCTCAAATGACTACAGTAGTTTCTCTGCGACAACAAATATCAAAAAGAGTTTCGGACTATATCTGACAACATCAGCTGTTTTTCTAATGAGAAATCTGTGAATAATTCACATGTTGTCTCACAAATACATGTTTCATAGATGTTGTAATTATTCTCTCTAATCATAATTTTATTCTAATTTCGCTGCGTTTTATCGCAGTGTGTACCATATACAAACTTCACATAAACTTAGAATTGAACAAAATCAATACCATAATCGGGATGAGTCAATGGATTGAGTTTGTGAGTCACATAATACTTCGCATTATTTATGAAATGTGAGGCAGAATACTCATCTAAACAAGTGGAAATCTCGACTTAATGATAGTGCCTCAGCGATAAAAGGGGATGCTCAAGACATATGAGATAAAAACACCACAGATGGTTGGAAATGCGTGTACGCAAAGCTGGTTTTTTCATCAACGAAAAAAGATGTATCAGATGAGTTTTAGTCAAGTTTCATTTTTAATTCATGCATATTTTAGTAGCATAAATGTGTACGTACTCCTCTGTGCCCATTTAAGAACATGTTGAATTTTCACCATGATGACGCTGCTTTGAAGATAAGGACCTGTGAAACGAAACTGATCATCAAATCACATTCTCAAGCGTAAGAGCACGCAACACTCGACGACGCATGGACATTTGACGACTGATAATTAGATTTAACCAATTGAACAATCAACATCTGCTCGAAGTCGATTAATATTCATTAGTGGTTCCTGCTTCTCCTGTTTATTTTATTTTGTCTAGGATTTTTTTAACTCACGGTTACTTGTAGTATTTCTCTGATATCGACATTTTCAATTGAAATAAACTTGCACATATCAACTAGACGCACAGAGACTCATACACGTCATATATACATATACAACATTTTCGTGAAATCTATCGACAGACCTGCTTTTTTCTACTCAGTGTTGTGTGTATTTTATCCAATATGCCATCGTTCAAACATTATTTGATTAGACTATCACAATTATGCTAAGAGAGGAAGTGGCTGGGTAAACCTTTTAGCCTACTGCTTTTCTTGTCAATCATTCAATTTTCTCGGCCCGAAGCATTACGTGTAGCAACAATCTAGTAACAAAAAATTCATATCTGAAGCTTCTAGATAATAATAAAGATGCTATTTTTATCATAATCTGACGAATTATTTGCGATAGACTTCTGAAGGAACAGCAATTACATTACATTTTATGATGACGTGTAAAATATTCTCCATAAACAATCAAGAACACGTTTATATTAATTAAAGTATTTTATAAATTGCAATCAGTTATTGATCATTGTCTATAATTACTTCAACCAGAAAACTTAGTTGGGCGACAACAATGAAAGAAATAATTGACATGAAATTGTGAAATTAGTATCAGTATCATATATTCAAGCGAAAATATAAAAGTCATATAAACTACAGAGTAGTCCTCTTGTTCGATTTTTTTCATTAAATAAAATAATGTTAAGGCAATCACCTGTAATTGTTAAAACACTTATGTTTAGTTTAACAATAAATAAAAAATTAAACACGTTATATTTACCTGACACTACAAAAGATATTCACTGATGAAGTTAATCTACAATTTCTTACACGTTGACAGGATTTAAACACTGCAAATGGTAAGTCAGTGACTTTTTTAGGAAATTCATCAATCAACTAATCTGAAACAACACCCAGTTTATCGATGAGAGAAATAAGGATTTTCTCAAATTTTTTATGAATCAACATCTCGCATTCCAAGATTCATTTTATTGTGTCGGATTTACTGATTTTCAACTCAAACATCTATCATGAATAAATGCGAATGTTTCAAGTTTATAGTCTTTGTTAGAAGTATGGTATTTTACAATTCATAATGTACAGAGTAAATTTAAAAACATTCAAATATATTTCAAAATTAAATCGTTCATCAGAAACCTACGATCAACATCGCCTCGTACCAACAAATGGCCGACAAAATTGGAAATGCGATCTAGAATAAAACAAAAGAACATATTTCGATTTCAATCATTTTGCGTATATAATTGATTTACATTTCTAAAACAATATTCATTCACAGATAGGCTGACTGCCATGTGTATACTTGAATAAACTGTATAAACAAAGTCAACATTACAGCCTTTTAAACATTATCACTTTCTCCGTTCAAAATAAGGAACGGTCCCCTCTGTCTTGACGTCTGTATATCATAAACCTACAAGTATTGTTATGTGCACAGAAGTTGCAAAATGGTTCAAATACAACAACCGTACAGTCGACTATAAATCAATGATCAAGCATGAATTTATTCTGATCATTCACATATAATCGATAAATGTTCTGTGTAGTCAAAATAGTTAGTTATTAGGTGACATCCATATTTACTGTACAACATCACATCAGAAATCTCTTTTGATACGTTGAAGTTGATGCTTCAGGGCAACTTACACTATAAGAATCACGACACATTCTGTTTATACTCAAAATGCTGAAGAAGATCCCAAATATCACCAATACGCAGCAAATAAAAAATAATAGTATCCTCCATTTTGCTGCAGAGCCTTTCGTTTCTAGACACGTTGCAATCATGAAAGTCATTATTAGCAATGGCACAATTGTGGCAATTAGCTGTTCATACAACTTGAAACATAAAGTCACTGATATAACACCTATGATCATAATAATCAACTGAAAAGAAAACAATATGTGTGTTAGTTTATGGTAAGTAAGCCATCAAAGCTGTTAATAACGATAAACAGTACGAAAGAATAACCGATCAAGTATTACTAATAATTGGAATGCCTGGAGATTGAATGAATATGCATCAAAATGTATATTAATTGTCGCTCATCCGGATGTAATAGCATTCAAACATATCAGTCGACGAGATTATCATGCAGTGACGGTGGTTTTCAGAAAATGGATCTTTCGAAACTTGAATTATCGCCTAAGCCGCAGCTGAAACTACTGCAGATGCTGCCAAATTTCGCCTTTCTTACAGCCTAGCACATCTGATGCAACCACAACTACATCAGTAGGCAGCAACGCCAATTGAACTGCTGGATTTCACTATTATTTTTATGCCAAGGTTAATTTTGACATGAGGTTCTGGAATTATAAAGACCTAAATACGTTTGATTTTGCCAATAAAATGATCCTTGGAAGGTTTGTCTGCTACCACAAAACTTAGTTACAAGTGAATTGATTCTGCCTTTGAACCTATGTGAACGCTCATTCATAGACATAGTCCTAACATGTGGCCAACATTTTGGCGAAAACTTGTCATTGCTTATTACCCTCTATTCGTGTTTGAAGGTAATTATAAACGAAGCGAAGATTTTATTATTCATGTAAGCATTGTCAACGCTTCCGGTTGAAGTCATTGTCTAAATACCTGTACAAAGCCCTCTTCACTCTTCAGTCCCTAAATTTTCATTGAAATCAAGATCCTAAATTCACGATTTGTGACATGGTCAACGAATACCAATGCCTCATTATTCTGCAACGAGTCATGACTCTGGTTCAGAGTGATGATTCTAGTTGGTCTAAAGGAGGAGTAGTGTTACAGTCACCTAACTAAAATAAATGTGCCCTTGCTACAACCAGTCCATCGCACACCAGTTCAGTCCAGTAGACGAACACGAATACCCCTGCTGCTTGCTGAAAATGTGATGCATGGCACTATGTGCGGAAGTGCCCATTTAGGAAACATCGAAACAGAAAATGCAAGGTCGTTCATCCTCACTAAGTATGCACCTACATGGAATAGGCTTCCCCAGCAAGTGGGTTACATGAGTTTTTTCAACTTCCTAATGAAGCTGTCAGTTGCACTGACTCTTCTGCACGTGTGAACTCACTCGCACCCTGCTTCCATATTATTAGCTCCGCATACATTTAAAATACAATGCACTCAGTGCTCAGTCTTATTTAGTTATTTCATTAAACTTTTCTAGTTGAATATAAATCTCTTCAGATTTTATTTGAAATTGACAGGTTACTCACTGTGTCGGTCGACACTGTTCATTTGTATAGTGGTTGATTAGAACGCTCTCTACTCTCCTGGGCACAATTTTATTAACACTCATTACTGTGTGAGTTACATATTGCCTATTATCAGTTTTACTGTTCTCACTGACACTCTATTGACTTACGTTGATCCCTTGGTATTATCTATTGCTCCACTTTTAACCATAATACTCTTTCAATTTCCTGCTTACTTCGTTAGGTACATCTCCCCACTACATTCTTAATGCTTATATCATGTTTAAAAATCTGAACTATTTCTCCATAACTGTTAACTGTGATGCATTGATCAATAGTTCATACGTTTTTACAGCCAGAAAAGCTTGTGAAAGGAACCTGCACAAATGGTGTTTATCAACAGGATGTGAGGCACAGAGCACCATGTAAAACATAGACTAGTTTCTTTTAATTAATAACATGAGCCTAACAACACAAAATGAGGGAGGGTGGAGTTACTGATCAGCAAACATCGATAGTGTGGCAATGAATTCAGAACACCCATGTTTGTGGGGATGAACATTTCGTTTGCTTCCGGCTCTTTTGATTGACGAGGCGACTAATTAGTAACACTGGGGTTGCTCTTATACGCTTGCTACTTCTGAGTCATATGTTTCCAAAACTATGCTGAGGTCGCTATTCTGCCAAGACACCCACAACATGCTTACTCAGGCGCCCACATTATGATTAAGAGGTTGACAGTCAATAAATTAAAAAAACTGTTAGTCAGTTGTCAATGTTTTTTTACAAACTCTACCCTTTTACCTGAAATTTCGATTTCATCGTACATAAATCGAGCTTCTTACTTAAACTTCTCTTCTATCCACTTGACACCCACCACATTTCTTCCTACTTCATTGCTGTAATCCTTCATTTGCGAATGTTTATTCTTATATTGGTTTTAATTGTTGGTGTGAATTTTATCTTGACCCACCAATGTATTGAATACTTCAACATGACAGGTTGAATAGTGATTTGGTTATATATATGCACTTGCCACGCTACTGCCTTTTTTTCTCTCTCTCTCTGTTTTCTCCCTTTTCAAAACCCCATTCACAGTGGGAAATCCATGGCAACTCTAGGAAACCTGCACCCTACGTTCATGCACGTTTGGATCACAGCTTGTATCAAGAGCGTTCCTACTGATCTTTCCGAACAAATTCACTACTGATCTCAGCAAACCTGCCCAAGAAACCTCCTGTACACCTTACATATTTGTACTCTCCTATTGAAAATGTGGCTGTGCCATACTTTTTCTATCAGTGACACAGTGTAAATGTGCTATCAGGAACTTCATTTAACTGCGAGAACTTTTACAGTTAATTTTGAAATCACTTGTGACGATTTGACATAGCCTATATTCTGGCATTCATCTTGTAACGTAGTTATTTGAGAATAAATATTATTATTAAAGATGTCGTTTGTTAAAAGAAGACGTCAAGTCAATCTGGAAGTACCAAAAAGATTTTCCCTGATCGTGTACTAATTCTTTGAGGCTCATATCATCTTGTCCCTGCTCATCCCAAGGTGAGAGCACATTGATCACCCTTAGTACTATTGGGCATCCATTTAGATTGCAGATAGATAAGCTCTCTGACGTCACCAGTCTTTCACGTAGAATTTGGATCAAAATTGGCTGCCTAGCATGCAGCCAGCAACATGAGGCATTGAACTGCATGTGGTTAATACGTTAGGTTGACAATTTGAATGAACAGTTACTGTTCGGGGTTCGACATCACCAACTATAGATGAATATTGAAATCGCTTTCAACAATAAAGAGTTATTGCGCCCGTTTCTTACTCTGCTTGGGCAGCACCTATGATTGTTTTCAAGAAGGTAAACGGCACTATATGTATATGTGTTGACTTTTATTCAGGAATCCATGCACCTCTCACGCAGTAACATTAACCTCTGACAGTTCATGAAGATCTGTTTATTGTGCTGAAAGGAGAAACATTTCATCGCTTAGCTGAATTTCGCTGATGCGAATTTGCAGATGGAAGTAGATGAAGCATCAAGAGAGCTGTTTACAATCAAAACTAATCGAGATTTGTTCCGGTATAACCGTCTGCCTTCTGGAGCCAAGTCCGTTACATCAATGTTGCAGCAACTAATTATTAACAGTCCATCAGATATCTCGATGTTCGCTGCTTATCGTCATGTCATTTTAATCGTCGTGATGATACTAGAACAGCTTCAGGAAAGCAACACATTTTTACTGCAACACATCAGTGACAACGGCACTACGATCCTTAATGAGACTTGTAAGCTGTATTTCAGCGTTCGTTTCTTCGAATAATGATATTCGCGCTTCACTGAATAGTCTGCTACAGAAGAACAGCACTTCACACAGGATGAAAGAGTGTGAAGCGGCCTTTCGTAAGCTCAAGTCCATAACTAGCTCGAAACAGGATTAAGAAACAGGACAAAGTGGAAGTCTTCATCAGTTTCGTTCACGTGAACACCAATTAGCAGTCAAAAGTCATGGCATTTCAACAGATGCATTCGACTATGACAATATGGATATACTGGATATGGGAAGCACAAAGGAAACTGGAGAATTCAGAGAAGCAGGTCAATCAGCAGTTAACAAACAATCTGATCGTGACCCAATTTATCAACCAATCAAAAAAATCAAAGTTGACTTAAAATGAAAAAACAGATCAAAAGTAGGTTGCAGTCAAACCAAAGGTGCAAACAGCGACAGGTCTAAGGTCAACGGAAACAGAACAAGATCAAGGCTAACAGAACACTTTACAGCGCAAACGTGGAGAAATTCGATTATTTCACTTCTATCTGACGTTTGTGCTCAAGTCGTGGCTTAGAAGAACAAAGAAAGCTCCACAAACGAAACATCCAGGTCGAAGAACGAAACAGCACAGCAGTCATCCCCTTTAGGTACAACTTTTCTCTACCATCTTTTTAACTCACTTTGATCCAGCAACATCAATCTTCTTTGCTGCGGATGCTTCAGCGTATGGACTAAGTGCTATTACCTTACCACAGTTTAAAGACGCGTTAGAAACATTCGCTCTGCTTCTTTCCAGCGTGCTCACACCAGCAGAAAGGAAATACAGCAAGACTGGGTAACAGGCTTTCGCGCTTGTGTTTGCAATTCATCTTTTCCTTTCAAAATAGCCAGAAATCAGCCTTGTATTGCCATAAACGATAAATGAAGCATTGCAGCTCTCTCTTGAAATGACATACCAGATTTGATTGCATCTGAAAATGGGTCGCAATTAACCTCTAACTGATTCCAAGCCTTCTGACAACGGATAGCCACCATGCACTTAGAGTTGCGGAAATCCTGATGAGAAGTAGACTGAAAATGATCCACAGCTTGATGCATTCGAGTAGTGCACCGACGCCAGTACAGACAAAGTCTGAAAAGCACTCCATGTATGGAGTGGACGTAACGTATTAGCTCATGACTACACACCAAGTCACAGTCAAAGGACAGAAGTGCGTGTGGTTGTTCGTATCATGTACGAAGTAGAGATAGTAGTGATCAAGCCGTCGGAATCAAATACGCCCACAGGAGTAAATCTTACACGTTCAAGAAGGTGGCCTCTGTGAAAGCGGTGAACAAAAGTCAAAATGCAATTCGATTACAAAAAGAGAGAGTGTATTGTGGACATCATGTCCTCAGCTCTCATTTTGAAAGGTCATAATCTTTTAATTTAATTCTGAAATTTTTAACTTTTATGTTTTTACGTCGACACATTCCTAGGTGACCAACAGCTAACGTATCCACCTGAGAAATACTTAACTGTCATTTGTTAAGGGATGTATTTGCACGCTGTTTTGTGCACCCCCTGGAGTGTTTCTAGAAGTTTATAAATAAACTTGGTGTGCTAAGCAACCTCGTATTTTCTGGGTGCCTCCGCTTATCAAGAATACTATGTCTAGTTAGCAGGACCTGGGACACCTGATTAGAATATCCTATGGAATCACTGTATCGTTGACCTAAGTTCCCTTTACTCTGTAAGATAAACTCGTAACAACAATCAAACATTTCACTTAGTGAACGTTTCCAACACTTATTCAGTTCTCTTCACATGTTATCTTCATTTGTATATATCATATATTTCGCAGTTTTGAAATATTACTGACAGATGTCCAATCATATTGAAATTTCTGAAAACCTAATGTAAATATATCCAAAATCATAAACACCATTTAAAATCATATTCGACTTACGGTTATGAACATGATGATGGCATTCCTCGTAGATTTGGTGTGTAATTCTTTGATGAGTATTACGGCAAATGCAAGTATAAGAGCAATGACACTATAATGTAAGAATCAGATGCAAACCAAATAAATTGAAAAGTACATTCAGCGTAGTTCATGTCATTAGAACTTCTCTATAACAAATGCAACAAATCGTCAGCAAATAACATGAGTAACATTTATATCTGGATACGTTCAAAGGATAATCAGAGAATTCGAAAATGAGAGTACTCGGTATGTGATTGTCACTTATAAAATGCAAACATCTATTGCGATGCCTTCATAGTGATCATAAAAGATCGATCAGCTAACGAGAGTATCTACAATAATTACGTTCAAATTAACATAAATACCTTTTTAACTTCCATAACTTACATTAAAACGAGACCAGATATTCCACGTGGCTCAGTCCATACATTTGAATTTAATCTGTCAAGTGGAATAGTGAATTTCCAATCAACTTCATTTGCTTACATGCAAGATGTTGTATTATTACAGATGCTTTCGTGATTTGCTCCTGATGCTACGCCGAATGCCCAAGTTATGATGGTTGAGATATTTGGATTGGACAAAACCAATAACTCCATCTTCGACTGAACTGTCAGCTATGTTAAAAACAAATATTTATGATGAATAAATACATGGATTACATTGAAATATAAATAGCCATTTCTACGCTTACATTCTTTAACTTCAAAGTTATATTGACAGTTATGCATTCATGAATAGGTCTTGAATATCAGGAAAGTAGTTCGAGGTCCCTGAATTTAGCACTGATTTCAGTAGTTATATATCAACCATGTCTCACCATTAAGACTCACAGTCCAATAATCTGCGCACAAATCTATCTATACACAAATATATCTGCTGATCTATCTATCTATCTATCTACCCATAATAAATGAATCGCTGCAGTTCATTGTGCTGACACATTCAAAGCAATCATATACTGCATTAGATCGTTAAAAATAAACCTCAAGTCATATCATGTTGTAAAAATCTACAAACTCACATCACTCTTCCCCAGCGTTTACTTAACACAATTCAATACAATCATCGAAATTTATAACCGTATACACCAATTACCTTACAACATATATTGACTGACAAGCGATTACTGTAATATTGAACTTTGGAATGAACAACAATAATAAAGCTATGCGACAAACAACAAATTCTGTAATTCACTTGTAAATACAGTGAACGTAATCAATGAACACATGACAAGTCTCGGTAACTGAATCGATGGACCATCTACTTAGTAAGTTAAGCTCAAATGTTAAATGAGAAAGAAACATTAGACGAATCATCATGAAAACAGAACGAATGATTATATTTTCCTTAATATTTTGGTGATAAAGTTTTTTGAACAGTCCTTGTCGTCAAATGCCAAACACCACAAATTTAAACTTGCACATACACGTATGTAGTGATAATGAGAGGCAGTTACCGGGGAAACGTGATACTACGTTATCAATCACTAGACAATCATCACTATGGTTTTCCAGTAATGTTTTGGCTAGTGATGCATGGTTACTTGTTGTTCGATGACGCGTTGAATTCTGTGTCTCCCCCTCTCGGAAGACTCAACCTTTTCGTCAACATATTCAAGACACATGATCATAAATATTTGTGTAATTTTGGAAGTTGGTGAAAACAAATTTTAGTGGCTGTAGAAATATAAAGAAAGTTCGGTAGAGATTATTGTTCATTTAAGCAGCTACACAAGTGAACGAACAGTGTACATGCAAAAAAAGCGCATAAGCTGATATTATAATCGGATAATTTACAGATATATATATTTGATACTGCTAGCGAGTTATTTGAATAAGCAGTTGATGAGGGTTACACAATGACTATGTGAGTAGGCCCTGAGCAGTGCTCAAGCAAACATTCACATAGAAGCTCAATCATGAAAAAAGTAAAAAATTTATATGAGGTGGTACAATAGTAGGTTAGGATTAGGCTTCATGAAGTTCAAATTGATAGAATGGTTGGGCTTCAAGGCCCATGTATTTACTGTTGGTAGAAGTATCGATTACCTGCAGCCTACATGAATAGTCTAGCAAATCCTTGTACTGTGAGAAATCGACAACTAGTATGGCTGCAGGTACATCGGCATTAATGAGCGTCATCATTTGCTCTAGTTTATCTGCGGCCGCGCGTATCAAAGCTAGGAACGACTAAACCATTCTTAGTGCACAGTCGAAGCATCGTAGCGTGAGCCTTGTTGTTACCTGCCTGTAAGACAGAAACTTGGGCACCTGTATCTACTACGTAACCAGCGTTAGTGTGATAGGCATGCTTGTAAAACTAGAGGCAAACCTATGATGGTTGGCCTTGAGAGTACTGCTGCATTTACTCGCCTGTACGGGTATTTCTAGCCCTGTATGAGCTAAGGCTCGATATGGAAGGGCAATGAACCGAAATATATGATGAAACCAGGAGAAACCGGTACTCGCTTTCGAAGCCGTGTCTAGGGTGGCTTGGGTGGTGCATGCTAAGGGCAAGTAGTTACTGTTCAACATGATTGCGTGCTGACTAGTGGACTGTGAGGCTCCGGAAAAATGGTGCAATTTCAAAAGTTCAGATGGCTGTAAACACAGCAACCTCGATCTTTGTCAGCTATCAAATGACTAGCGTCAATATCTACATTCGAATGTGACGTTGAGGCAACCGTTTATTCGTGTTGAGAGCTAGTGCTCGCTATTATAATATCCACCAAAATGGCGATCTGGGTAAATGGCTTGGCCTGGAGTAGGGTTTTGGTCAGGGTCTTAATGTGTTCGAAGATTCGAGCAACCACTCCTCAACTATTTCGGAATAAGCTGTCATGGGCTCTGCTTAAGACTGCAGCGTGGTAGGAGGTTGCTTGATTAAACATCTCTCCGGGTGTAACGTGATAACAATGACTCTGCCATTAATGATTGTGATAATAATATATTTGTTGACGATCTTGTGGTGTGAAAATAGCACGGAGATAGCGCCAAAGTGTGCAAGCGGGATAACTGTACGTACGTGACCAAGTTCAAGGTCATAGACGATGTAAAAATTTCTGTCTTGGGACAATCAAACTAATAGGGATTGTTTAAAAATCTTCAGTGCAATTGATCATAATAATAAATGTTTCCAATACATCAGTCGAGTTCTGTTCACATTATTATCAGTGATTGTTTCACTGTACTCGCTTCATTGCTGTTATTTTGGTTATATATATATATTTTTTCCTGCTAGTTTTGTAATTATCTCCTCCATAATATCTCATTTTTGAATTCGCTGCAATATAGCCGAAGATCACTAAGGTATGCCTTATTCTGCGTATCTTATTATGCGCTTAAACATGAATACTCTGAGTTATGTGTTGAGATCAGATAGTAAATTAGTATCAGTAATTCAAGCAACACTCATAATCATTCGCCATGCATTATATTTATCAATAACAAGTGATCACTTCATTGTAAATGAGACGCCTTTCTGTATTTGGAGGTTAATTAATTTTAAGCTGCTTAAAATGCACGTCTCTAATGTATTGGCGATCATGCGCCGTGCTCTGATGTCTGAAGAGTCTTCTCGGTCATGCTGCAATTCACAGTAACTTATACAGCAAGCTATGAAAGAAAATGATCTTAATTTAAAAAGAATCTACATCTTCGGCACTGACGTTCACCCAAGATCCGAACAATATTTGTGTCAAAAATCAAGTAAATTCAAGATCTAATGAGTTTCACACCGGTATGTGAACTGCTTTGATTTAAAATGCACACTATCAAAATACAATTCTCACTCATAATCCAAAGATAAGTTCTTAAATAATCTTCGATATTAAGGTTCTCCAGAGTCTAGTAAATATGGTACTTGAACGGCGAAAATTAAAGGTTGAAACTGCAGGCGAATCAAAATCAAATGCTGTGTAAGCCAAAAATGTCGGAAATCAGTGAAAGGGGGGAAAAGTCCACAAAATTTATCCCTTGTGAGTTCTTTTTACTTCGAGTCTTTTTACAACATCATACTTTAAAAAATGATGCACATCTTACTCGTGAAGCTGGTTGGTTGTTTCACCCGGTTTTTACACATTCAAAATTGAATTTAAGCTTCTGAAATGTTGAACGTTTAAAATATACTTTTCTAGTACACTTCAGGTGTTTATTAAATAGATCGATGAACGAAATACCAACGAGGTAAATTAGACTTACATATCAATATCATCGAATCACACAGAGTTAGATTGCTGCAACTAGAGTCCTACCTGCTGGCAACACTAAAACGCGACATCGCCTGGCAATTAAGATGAAGTAGTATGGGCTGAGTGACTAAAGAATGGTGTGACTGTTCTATACAGTGTAAGTCACAGAAAACTCTGATCCTATTACTATTTCGGAAACACAGATAACGACAGAAGTATACAGTCGTGGTATTCAAATACCTAGTTTCTAACTTTGCAGTGCCGGTGATGTGATCATCCTTTCGATAAAAATTACCGTAATTCTCCGAGCTATCGAGACACTTCCACACATCCATGGAATATGAACTGGAGAGATAGTGGCTCAAATGCAAAGGGCGAGGCATTAAGTTAGTCCAGGATGCGTAGTAGAGGAATTTTACTGAAACAAACGCCATCACCGTGATGATTCCAATAATAAAGTTTCTTTAGATAATGGAGATATTCTAATGCATCCGGACTTACGAACCAGATTTCATGGTAACAGTTAGAAGACAGTTTTTTCTGGATTGTTATTACAAGTGTATTGAATTTGCGTATTGTCATAATGACAATGTGAAGTAAAACATTTTAGGCTCATTTGTTTTTTATTGGATGCTGTTATACGGAAATAATTTTCCCTATATCCCTAGTGATTTGTCTTTTACAAGTTAATGATAAAAAATTTATCATCCATTTTCAACTTGTTGATGTTAGCTTCTGTAAACTTTCGATTCGTCTATTATGTATGCAATACTCTGTAAAATTACGGTTGAATATTATGTCCGTAGATATTTTGGTTAGAAAAGAAAACAAGTTAGTTAGATGTGTTAAAGCCACATTATTACAAGAAATTTTCACTTCATCGTAATTGAAGTTTCAGTTCCAACTTTGCGAGATGTAATGGAATCATAAGTTCTTCATTTCTCAAAGTATTTAAAAAGGTTGATTCCTGAAAATGCAATAAATGCATTTGAAGGAGGTTGAACTGAATTTTTTGAGTGTCGTTTATGAGCTGCTGTTTATAAAATCGTGATCAGAAAGCAGTTTGTTTGACGACATACACCTCCACATGTTGTTTTTCATAAATTTCCAGTCCGCGCCACCGTGAATTCATTGTTTTTTATAATGTCTTAACACAATTTGATGTTGAATTATTGGCTCTGTGTTCTACCTAACCACTTCTCATATCGTTCAGTATCAGTCAATTATTTTCCAGTTGAACATGATAAAGGTTCACTGAAAACGCCTAAAGCTGTTTTCAACTGTTATCGGTGTTCTGAAAACAGACAACAGTAGGAGTTTCATTGAACAATAACACGATGAAATTCTAGTACAGTAGAAGTTATTTGACAGCATTTTTCATTACTAATACCTAGGACAAGATTACTAGTATCGATATTGATTATAAGAATAATAGTAATAGTCAAAGGGGAATCGCAGAATTGTTCATCAACATTCAACACAAAATAAAAATCCCATTGACTAATATATTGACGTAAAGTTTGTTTAAAGTATCCATGAAAATCTACTGAGGTCTTTTCATATATAACTAGCCCAAACTAAAAGTGAATGTGTTTCAATCACTGAAACATAGAAGTCAATATATTTACAACATGTAGATTAGGTAAAATATGGCTGACTGATTCATTTATTGTCCTACGTCTTAAAGTTATTGTTTTTGCATTGGCATGGTGGGATTGTTGATGTTGTGGTGGTGGTTTTGTCTTCTCATTGCCAACGTCTTTGTAATAATTTGATATGAACCTGCATCAAGATGGCTTTATCTAGGTTATCCGTATGAAATAGACATATACGAACCAAGACTGATCAAATCAACCGAATAATCCAAACCATTTAGATTTATATTATACTCGAATTAGTTGTCTCGTGGTTTGCAGTGTTTAAGACAACTAGAGTTCATATCATCTGTTCATGAAAATCGCCTTGAATAGATGGAAAAATTAACTTATCATATTTATTAAAACTCAGTAAACGATAGCGAGGATCGAGTATCCGGCAACACGACAGGCAACTTTAATCCCAAACTCTAGTCCCAAACCCCCATTGTGTAAAAGAAGAAGACTTGATATGAAGTAGAAAATGTATTCTAGAAACATCCACAAAGTACGAGGTCCGAATCCAGAAGAGGACGAGAATGCCGGACCAGGGGTTTGAGTCCGGGTCATAAACCGTTTCAGAAAATGCGTTTTTATGAAGTTAGGTCGAATATAAAACTACATGGAAGTCTGTCACATTGACATTTAGGACGACCAATAGTAACTGATCAATAGATTTAGACTTACAAACAATTATGTGAGGATATCCTAACATTACGATACCTCAAGATCGGCAGCAAATATTCTTCTTCGCCTGGATTATTCCTTTCACCCCTGGTTTTGGTGTAGGAAAGGATAACTCGGAAAGAGTAAAACGTTACTGACTAGTGGCGATATTCCTATTCGGTCACCACTCGCTTCACAACAAAACATTCAAGAATCATTATGGTAATTGCGATTCAACCTTTTTACCAAAGTATTTAGAGTATATTTTCAGAAGACACTACTGACATTCAGAGGGACTCAAAATAAATTTAGACTTAACGTATGACAACTCTCCGAACACTTCATTGTTATTATCTCCAATCATTTACAGAATTACAATCTCCAACTGCATTTAATATTTTACATACCCATCCCGATGAAATTATTCTCAATAATGTATCAACTAAGAGTTTTTGACACGGTAGAAAAATAATTTCATATGCTTTGATTCATACGTCAAGTGTTGTGATCGATCTCTTGGAATCGATTCTGCTAACTTTGCTGACAGCGTTCTGTCATTTTGTCAATACTTGTTGAACGCTTTTAGCCTAAAAGTTAAGAAAAATAATCTCACACTGTTCTAAATTTGAGTCACCATCTGTGAGATTGTTAAATTAAGTATGATCCTGTCTTTCAAATCAACTGAAAATAACATAATCAGAATCTTACTGTCAAGAAGTTCGCAGGTTTTAAACATTATTGTTCCGGCTGAACACTGAAACACTATTAAATACTATTCGACAACAGAGATAATGTTGATATCGTCAAATCATTTCAACATGGCAAAATTAGCACTAAGGTACAACTTTGATCTTTTGGTCTTCCGTCGAATGATTAGACGGGCTATGTTTCGTGATAAAGCGGTCGTTTCGGAGAAAGAGGTGGCCAAACAAAAACCTGGCGCAAATCTTTCAAGTTGCTGATAAGTGAGCTGATTTACGTTAGTAAGTGAAAACAACCGGTTGAGGTCGTAGATACGATAGTAACCGATTGTAAGATACCTTGAATGACAAGGCTCAAAGTCGTTCGAAATGGCGCAGGCGCATCCACTCCTTATCTTCTCTCCAATCCATATTCCTTCGATATGACTTATCCCCCAGCAATTGTGGAACCTTGAGTTGGTGTTTCGTTCTCTGAGCTAGATGTTTTGGTTGTGGAGCTTTCATCAGCACAAACTTCTATCTGAGCTGCAAACTTTCCCTTCCATCTCAAAGTGTATTACCTTGTATGGATTCAGTCATCTTTTCTTTCCTTAATTCAGGAATTCATTTCGTAACTGGTCCACAGTAGTGATCCTAATCAAGCTCAACCAGCACTATTTAAGTGTGCTAAGAGATTAGTCTTTAATACTACATTAAGGTCCCCAACAAAACGAACACAGCTTTATCTCGTCACATCAGTGACTGACTGGAACAAAGTTTGTTGTGAGCTGACTACTAATTGACAAAATTCTGAAAGGACACTGAAACTTATTGTTCTTGTTATTAAGCATTAAGAGATATGTTAGATGAAACACATTATAAACTGCCATCTTATAAAAGATTGTGTTGGCCTTAACAACAGTTCTAAGGTTAATTGAAACATGTGAAGTATCTTTCTGATTATTGTTCGGGTAGAATTATTCAATCTATATTTTCTCTTTCTATTTAGGCTCAGAGGCAAAGTTGACACTTTGAATCATCTTTCTGTGTTTACTTCCTGTACTTTTTATTTCAAACTAATGAAGCGACGTACGTATACTTAGTTAGCGTTTTTTGGCGAGTTCATTTTCTATGGGATGGGATCGCAGAATAATTTTCTTGATAATATCATTTTGATTTTGAGGACTGAACTAATCATTTGTCATCATGAATGCTTGTTGTTACAATGTTATTTGGTAGTTGATGCTCTCATCAAATAACAGGATCACAGAGAATGACCTTCAAAACGTCATAAAGTCGTGATGACCTTAATTTATTTGGCTTTGTTTTTCACGCGGATATTGAACAGAGCACATATTGAGCCTAATCTTTAATTCTTCATACGCCTATGATTTACTCAGTTATTTAATATAAAATAACGTAAAATTTACTTCTTCAGTATTCGTGTTTCAAATATGCGCATGAACTTATTCTATCATCGTCATTGTGCCTCAGTTATATTTGATTATGTGTTGTTCAGAAACTACTATTTATTGTGTACGGTCAGTCATATATTTGCACAGTTTCTACGTTTTAATATACTGTCTTTCAGTTGCCGGTCATAATTTTAGATCAATAAGCAGACACTAGACAATAATGTTTCGCACAAATAAATTATCTTGCCGATATGCCTAAGTAGCCACTTCTATAACAAACAATGTATCGCAGCAACCCCGAAATCAAAGTCCATTATTTTCTGGTGCAAAAGCTTACTGTTTGATAAATATTAGATTTAGTGATAGAAGTAATCGAAGCAAACCGTGTATGTCCCTGGCAAACTTGAACGGCATGAGCTAACTGAATTTTTTAAGGTGAGTACTTTTTAAGAGATTCAGCAAATAAAGTCAGTGAGATCGCATTACTCAATGATGAGCAATTCCGAGAATTGAACGATAAAGAGAGAAAAAATAACCATTATCAACCAGAAAAAATTACTTAAGTGTTATACAATACAACTATTAAAGTAACCGCTCTCACAAGCCAAACGAACTTGCACCAGATAAATAAATCAGGAAGAATTGCTGTAAGTGTATATGACACACAGCGAGGAAAGCACCAAACTGAGTGATAAAAGAAGCCGTCACTTCAGCTCTCAACACCTTTGAAAAAGAGGAACTCCAAGGAACAAATTTACCGTGAGAAATGGAGAAAAATATGAGAAGAATGACCAACAATTAGGAAGAACTCGAAAAGAAGGCTCAGGACAGATTGGGTGAGAGGATGCTTGTCGAAGGCCTAAGCTTCACTATGAGTAACAGACGTAACTATGAAAGTCAGCCTTGTTTACATGTCACTCTTACAAAGTATCATTCATTCATCAATGAAATGAAAAACTATCCAATGCAGTTGTTTTTCCTCCTAACTGTTAATGTTGATTTATGCCTTATTAATTGTGTGCAGTTACAATAGATGTTGGTCTAACTTACATCTCTTACATGATACCAGCCTACTATGAATGAGTTGGAAGGTGGACACGAACACATTTACGCCTGTTACTCCTCAAAAAGCATGGTCTACCGACAAGCCATCTCCAACCTACTGTGTCCTGGACCTTCATTTCCAGTTCAAACCATTTGCCATTTATTCTTTCATATTTTGCTTTGTGCTATCGGTGTATTGTGTTCTTTGGTCTCAAATGTTTGTTTTGGCTTTGAATTTGACAAGTATGGGTTCGTTATTTCAGATGTTTCGTCTCATACAATGAAGTTGATGTTCAGCAGTGAGGTCAGTTGAAGTGTAACAACAATCAATTGTGTTGTATGCGATTTGTTTCGGGACATGATCGACTGTTACGGGATCCAGCCTGCTGTAACTCTCAAAAACTGAAAGATCTCCTCCCTTTGACACATTGGAAAATGAACACAACATTTTTTCATTTGTATTGCTCGATTAATGTGCATAACCAAAAAACTCAATACATCTTCTAGTGTTCCATTTATCACATTCATTTATTCAGAAGTACACTATTACTTATCAGTGTATAAGAACCACACCTTCTAAATGAATTGCAATATCAGTATACTGAAGTACGAAACAGCTAATCCTTATGTCCATTGAACTAGGAATATATAAAACTCATTACATTCTCAACTGGATGCAGTCATCACGTATTCACATATTCACATTATCCTACTACGACCGTTTTATGTAACAAATCACAAACAAAGTCCTTTCACAAAATTAGAAGTTTGTTATGAATTTCTTTTATTGATAAACTGATAACTATGTAATCATCTTGTTTATTCGAGATGAGATGGTTATTCAAAACAAAACCTGTTAACAACTAGTTATAACTTACTTCAGTGACCTGAAATAAATGAAATCTCTAGGAATTATCTAGATAGACGTGTGTCCAAATAACATTGTACATGATACATTGATAAGTAGCAAAATACTTGTGACTAGTCAGGAAGTGAACATGAACACAGAATGATTCAATTTGTGGTGCGGAAGTGACAGACTAGAACTACACACAACCCAATGAACGGAGTATTTTATTCTGTCAACTGTGACGGTAATACACTACACATCGCTTTGAAGTCACGATCATCATCATTAACCACGTTAACTAAACTGACTCCGTTTTTCTCATTCAAATCTCCCATGACTGATCTCTAGATCTGAGAAAACCCATTAGATAAGATCAGAGTAAGTCGCTGTCGAAAAAGCTACACTGAAGAATCCAAGATCTTAGTGAAATCTAGCAAACTCCACCATTTAATATTAACAGTAATCATGTGGTCACTAGTAACCAACTTCATAATTAAATTGTCGGGATTCTGATAGGAAGTCGTGATAAATCGAGTTCAGCTCTGTTGAATCTGGGGCTGTTGTTCACAAAACACAACCGACGATGGTCATGCGAAATTCAGGATTGATTAAAGTTAGACAAAAACACCATTCTTTACCAGGTTAGTGGTCTACAGGCCTAGAGTTCGCTCGCAAAACTGAGGGCTTCAAGTCCGACATGTTGATCTAAATGTCTTAGTAATCCGTTACTAATACACAATTGTGTTCGGATTTCTTTTGCCTGATATTGCAGAGTATATATTGCACGAGCTTCCAATATACTTCCAGTCGAACATAAATAATACCATAATCAAAACCAGACAATGGAGCAGGTTTGAGAATCACACATTTTTACATCAATAACAAAATGTGAGTCTGAAGGCTTATCTGAACGAATAGAAAACTCGACTATATGATAGGGACACACGGATGAAAGAATCCTCACATCACACGAGATAAAACCACCACATATGATTGGAGGTAGGTCAATGAAGTTCATGAGGGCGAGTTTGTGGATTTCATCAACGAAAACAGATGTTTCGGATACGTTCTAGTCAAAATGCAGTCTCCAATCATGCACGTATTAGTAGTATAGTGATAAATGTACTTTTCAAGGTTTTTTGACGACATATTGAAGCTGCACAATTGATGAAGCTGTTTTTATAGCTGAGAACATACAAAATAAAACTGAACATTCTCAAACATAGGCGCACGGTCGCCACACCTTTTCTTGTCACTCGGACAGTTATTATGATAAATATGGGAACTTATCGTGATACAAAGCAATCGAATTATGAATTACAAAAGATGGCTTGTTAAAAGATGATCATAAGGGAACTAATAAAACCAAGAATAAAAGACAGTCCGTGATGACATTTGATGATCAATAATTAGATGTGAACAATTCAACAATCGACACCTCATTATTGCCCATTAACATTCATAGCCACTGATGCATGTATAAGTAGTTCCTGCCTGTTTAGTTAAGTGTAATTACCTGTTTACTTCCATATACATATAACGCTGAGTAGAAAATAGATGCTTTTATTATTTTGCTTTGAAGATTTATTTGCGATGGAATTTTGAGAGAACATGAGTGACAAAGAAATCACATTACATTTTGCATTGACGTGTAACTTATTCGCCATAAACAATCAAGAACACGTTTATATTTATCAAGGTATTTTATGAAAAGCAATCAATTACTGATCATCGTCTATAATTATTTCAACTAGAAAACGCAGTAGGACGACAACAATGAAAGAAATAATTGACATGAAATTGTGAAATAATCACAAATATCATATATTCGAATGAATATACAAAAGTCATGAAAACTATCGAGTAATCTTCCGATATGATGTATTTATTCAAATAATATGTTGTCAGTGCAATCACCTGTAATTGTAAAAACAGTCCTCTTTAGTCTGATAGTAAATAAAGACATTAAACACGTCATATTTATGTGATAAAATAAAGAATATTCACTGACGGAGTGAGTGTATAATGTCTTACACGTTGACAGGATTTAAATTCTGCAAATGATCAGTCAGTGATTTATTTGATCATTTTACCAATCAAATAACCTCATATAAAATTTATTTTGTTGACGAAATGAACAAAGAAATTCTCAAACTTTTCACTAATTGACATCTAGCTTTCATGCATTCATCTTATGGTGTCAGAACTGTTATTAATAACTCCTTTAATAGTATCAACTTTATAGTTTTAGTTTTGAGTAAGATATTTTGTAATTCACAATGTATACACATATTGAAATTCAGTCATTCACGAGAAACTCACAATAAATTCTGAAGCGCACCAAAAAATGGCTGACAAAACTGCAAATATAATCTAGAAATAAAGGCAAGAAAATATTTCCTTTCAAATTATTTTGTGAATATTTGGTTTGCATTCTTAAAACATTATTCATTCACAGATATACTGACTGCTATAATTACGATAATAATGAAATTCGTAAGGTAAGAGTCCAGTTAATTTCGTGTTCACTATATGGATACTATGCGACACCAATTCTTGTTTGTGATAATTAGTTTGACAATGAATGAGTTGACTTCTTTTCATCCGGCAGTACTTTTCTAAATTCTGACTGTTACAAAGATGTATTTACTTCAATGAACTGATGAAAAGTTGACAGCAACAGACCAGACTGAACATTATCTCCAGGTATTTGTTCAATAAAAGGAACATTTGCTCAGAGAACTAAACACCACCACAATGAATAAACTTGAATTTATTTTCACTACTGATAGATGACAGATAAATGAGACAAATATTCATTTTGGTTAGTAATTTGGTGACATTCATAATAAACATACAACATCAAATCAGTAATCACTTTTGATAAGTTGAAGTTGATGCTTCAGGACAACTTACTCCAATCGGATACTTAGTAACGTAGATTATACTTAAAATACTGCAGACGATTCCGCATGTAATCAATACACACAAAACTGAAAACAATACTATCCTCTGTTTTCCTGCAGAACGTTCGATTCCTATACCCAATATAATGGCGAAGATCGATACTGCAAATGGCACAATTAACTCAATGACCTGTTCATACCACGCACCACATGGAGTCAGTAATCCAACACCAATCATCATAATAATCAACTGAAAAGTAAACAAAAAATATTAATTTATAGTAAGTGCATGATTACTGAAGCCGTTAACAACGGGAAACAATACTAATCCCTGTGCGTCAACTGGCTATCCATTGAAATGTATGTTTTTGTTCATCTAGGTGTACCGTATTGAAAAATAGAGAGATGTTTCGTCAACAAATCTGCATATTCATTGCGATTTTAAATGTAACATCACCAAATTCATGTAACGAAAATCACACATGGAAATTTTAAAAACGACAAGTAGACAATGCGACCTGATCATCTGAACACAACTTCTACTTGGAGCATCAAGTGACGTCTTATACATTGCGGAAACACAAGTTTGTAGATTAGCCAAGCATGCAGAGGCAAATTCAAATTAAAAAGGCTGAAACGGATTCAGTTTAGTGCTTCTGTGCGTTGAAATTACCGTAAGTTCAATTCAAGCAGTAATTCTATCAAGGTTTTATTTATCTGTTCATACAGTCTCCCATGATGCACACCAAATCTCTACGCTTCACCTGTCATCTTCATCTGTCTATCATCAATTTTGCAGCTTTTTTTCTGACTGATAAATGGCTCTGATTCATTTGATATTCTCAGATACGCACATAGCAATATTACTGTTAATCATGACGCAGATTCAATCACAACGAAATTTCTGAAAACTCAATAGAAATATACACAAAATCATAAACATCATTCGGAACCATATTTGACTTACGGTTATGATCATGATGATGGTATTCCATTTAGATGCAGTGTGCAATGCTTTGGTGAGTATTATGATGAGTGCAAATATTAGAATGATAACTCTGAAATGTGGAAACAAAATGTACAGTGTAAATCGTACAGTATATCAAGCGTAGGTCCCTCTTACATATATATGCAGAAATGGTCAGCAATTCAGATGAGCGACATTTGCATATGAATATGTTCGAAAGATAATCAAAGAATTCGACAAATGGAAAACTAGGTAAACGATTGTCATGATGATCCGATATAAGTCGCTTATAAAATGCAAACATTTTCTTTTGAGATGCTTTCATAATGATTTCGTTGTTGGATAGCGTGTTTAATCGATAATCACAATCAGTCGGTCAGTTCTGGAGATGACACTTAATAATTATGTACAAAATGACATAACTAATTTTTAAAACTTTAATGACTTACATTAGAACGAGACTAGATATGCTACGTATTTGTTCAGATACAGTTGAGTTGAATCTGTCAAGAAGAAAGGTAAGTTTTCAATCGACGTCAACTACTTACATGCAGTAAGTTGAATTGTCACAGATGCTATTGAGATTTGCTCCTGACATTGCACCGTATGTCCATGTTGTCATGGTTGAAATAATCAGATCTGATAAAACCATGAGCTCCATCTTACACTAAATTAGCGGAGATGTTGTCTACAAATAATCATGATAAATAAAAACTTGGATTAAATAAAAACATAAACACATTTCTTTTACTTACTGCGGTTTGTTGACAGGTATACATTCATTAACATACCTTGGACGTCAGAAAGGTAGTTTGACATCAATGAATTATGCATTGTTGAGAGCAGTTATCAATCAACGTGGGGTCACCATTATGATTCACTGCCTTTCTATCTACTCACAAGTAGTTCTACCTATCTACACATATATATTTACCCATAATAATGGAATCGATGCAGTACATTGTACTAACACAATCAAGGCAATAATATACTGAATTAAATCATAAAATATAAAGCTCAAGTCATATCATGTTGTGAAAATTTACAAACTCACATCACTCTTCTCCGACGTTCGCTTAACACAATTCAATAAAATCATAGAAATTTATAACCGCATACACCAATTACTTTACAACACATATTGATTGAGAAGCGATTACCGTAATACTGAACTTTGGAACGAACAACAACAGATTCTGTGATTCATTTGTAAGTACATTGAACGTAATCATTGAACACGTGACAATACTTGGTAATTGAATGAATGTACTATCTCCTCGTTTGTCTAATAAAAGATGATAGATTGTAGACATCAAATAAAACATCGCCGAAACACGAGGAATCTTCACTAGGCTTGTGAATGAAGTTATTCAAACTGAGTGATGGTCATAAATCAAATCTGTCTTCTCATGCATAGAATGTAAGTAAATAGCCAATTGTACTGTGGTCCGCATTATGTTACGCAGAAACATTTTTTTCATTAAACGTTCAAACGTAGAAGCCCGCTAAAACGAATGATTTTGCAAGATTGTACTAACTCTACTTTTACGAAGTAAATGCGATTCGTTGAACAGAAAGATTCATTATTTTAACCGATTGTATCAATGATCATTTTACTAAAATTCTTGTTTATTCCAATTTCTGTAGGAGCACTTTAAGCTCGCTTATTGCCATCTTTCATTTGACGCAGTGTAACTGCTCGAATTTCCTATGTTATGATTGCCGTATACTTTTAATACCACGAAAACGCCATCAAATAACTCTTCTTCCCTGTTTTGTTTTACGACAAGAGAACGACTCACTACGCCAGAAGATAATCAAGAATCAATATAGTGTTCGCAATTCAACCTTTCGACTAAAGTATTTGGAGTTAAGTTCCAAAATTCACTACTTACATTCAGAGGAGCTCATGGAATTTTCTCAAAATAACTTTAGACTTTACTACTGACAAATCTCTGAACACTTCAATGTTATTATCACAAATCATTTACAGTATTACATTCTTCAACTTCATTTCATATTTACACACACATCCCGACGTAATTATGCTCAATAATATATCAACTGTGAGTGTCGTATTACCTTCCCCTGTTAATTATTTTTGGCATAGAAGTAGAGTAATTTCATATGCTTTGATGCATACATCACTTGTTCTTGTTGATCGCTTAGAACCGATACTGTTGACTTTGCTGACAACATTCTGTCATTTTGTTAATACTTGTTCATGTTCAAAATTTTCGGCCTAAACTTTAAGACAAATAAGCACATTCTATTCTTAACTCAAGGCTTTATTTGTGAGATTTTTATATTAAGTATGATCCTTTCTTTTAACTGAATATTACATAATTAGAATCCTAATGTTTAAAGGTTCACAGTGTCACAAATGTTTACGCTTTGGAATAAATCACTCCAACTTCTCATTGAAACACTTTTGAGCATTATTTGTCAACAGAGATAATGTTAACTATTTCTATTCATTTCTGACCAACTCTTCATCAACGTAAAACTCTGATCTGTTAGTCTTTAAGTGAGTTGGTTCTGACAGGCAATACATATGTCCAAACACCGAATACCCCTTCGAGCGGTGTTTAGTGGTGTAGGAGTAGGTTGGAAGACAGCTAGGGGCGGCCAAACCATACACGATACAAATCCATGAAGTCACTAACAAGTGGGCTGAGTCATGTTGGTAGATGCAAACAACCTGGTTGGGGTCCGCAAGATGATGGTAACCGATGGTGTGAGACCTTGAATGACTTGACTCAAAATCGTTGCCAATGGTGAAGATGCGTTCATTCTTCGTGTTCCCTCAAATTCTCATCTGAATTCCTCATCACCTCTATTTTTCTGTTTTGGAAAATACTACACGAATTATATCTTCAAACCCTAATCTTCTCCATTAAAGGTAATACTTCATTCACCTCTACTACTATGGGATTGATTGAATTACCTAGTTTCTAACTTTACATTGCTGGTGATGTGATCATCCTTTCCATAAGAATCATCGCAATTATCCGAGCTATGATAGCAGTGGCACATATCAGTAACTTGTGAACTGGAAAGTTAACGACTCAAATGCGGAAAGCAAGGCATCAAGTTAGTCTTAATATGTCGCCGTCCAAAGTGTTTAGTAGAATGATTCTCCCTAAATAAACCCAAACCATTGTCGAACAAGTTTAAATCGTCATAGCAGATGGCTTCGATGCACCCCACATAAAATGGATCAACCAACATCTAGGGCTATTGGATACACTATTTGGTTACCAACTGTTAGAAACCACTGTCGCTTCGGCTTTACTCCAGCACATTAGAGATCCTACCAGATATGATCTAAAAAACTAATGTCCTGTGCTCGTAGTTTTCATGTTAGGTGATGATTGCAGTTAAATTGTTCCTTCCACCTTTAGGAAGGAGCAATCATTGGTCATCTTGTTTAAGTTTATTGCCATTATAGTTTCTCATGCAGATGCTTAAGCCCGACTTTACATATGAAATGTTGACATGAAGGTGATGGACTCTTCAGTCTTTACTGAAAACAGCATGATTGACTACCTGGCATCGGTAAAAGAAGCACTGACTCATTTACAGAAGTTATGCAAACACGTTACCTAGCTGTTTCAAACGTGGACATCTTCAAACAGTAAAAAAACACGGCCGTCACTGGATAAAACGAAAAATTTGACTTTTACTAATACGGAAGAATAGAATCTTGTAACGTCAGAATCAACGTTGGCATAGCAACGTCAGTGGAATGTTGCAGGTCCTCGTGCCATTTAAACAGAAATGAACTTGACTCAAAAATCATGAGATAAATTGAAAAAACATCGCCGCCACGCTGAACCATGATTTGTAATGTGTCCCTTCATCAATTCAATTTATAAGACAGGATGAAAAGAGTTTCCATCAAACCACCGGTCGTTAAGCCCCACATTTTCTTGGTTAATATGCCAAAAAGAGTAAACTTCATGGAAATAACTAACGTGTTAAACAGTGAACGACATGGTTTCAGCAACGATGATGGTTTACAGAAAACTTCCTTACAGAAAAAGAGAGATGGACAGAGGGGCTGGATAATAGAAAACCAATGCATCTTATTTCCGAGGAATTAGCAAAGCGTCTGATGACGTACTGGGCAACAGACTCCTTTTCAAGGCTAGAAAATCTCTTATCAAGTTGATCACATTATTCTTGGCTAGTGGAAGGAAGAATGTAAGAGTGAATTCTAAACGATACTCCTGAACTTCCCTACACAGTGGGGTATCGCAGGGATTTATTCTACATCCCCTACATTATGTGTATACAACTTTCTAGTTAGCTGGTCCAAAATATGTCTGATGCCCAGAGATCAAGATAAGCCCGTATAACTTCACAATGGCGATAGAAAGATGAATGAGTTAGGCACTAGAAAATGCCGATATCTATAGTCTGGTATCAAGGATTTCAGAATTAAAATAATTACATCTATAAGTAAATTATTTGGTAGTGAAAATTGTGAGAGAGGAACGAAGTGTAAGCGACGCGAATGAAACAGAGATAATAGGCAATATTTATCTGGTTACTGATCTGAGTAGATGACGATAATATTACCTAGCGGGTTTCGAGACCTACATCAATCACAGCTGGTTCACAAAGGAGATGATAATCTCTTCGCGAGTACATGTTTATCAAGTCCCGATTCAAGCTGTCCATTTAGGGGGCTTTGGTAGACAAAAGCTCATAGATTAGACAATGGATATTCTATATAGTCTAATAGTTTAGTTTACTGATGTTCTCCATTTGATCATCTTGTTCCTGTACATTATATACAGTGAACATCACTTTGCGCAATGTTCAAAGTTAGCGCTACGTTGCCTTTTGAAAAGGCCTATGGAGTTTATCGCTTGTCTGGGATTTTTATATTATAAATTCCTGCTCCAGCAGCAGAACAACATACTTTGGTTATGTTGCACCTGAACACTGTGGCTATCTCAGTGGTTGTACTTGTGACTATCACCAGACAAGATGATGACATTGGTAAGTTCCAGTTTATCTCGTACTTCTCAACCTTCAAACAAGGCATTATTTTGATGTATCTAATTGTGAAACATGTCTCATATGTATTATGGTAGGAGTTAATTGTTATCTTGCATTATTGTTGCGATGATATTGGTCAAATGCTTAGATTGCTTGACTTTCTATACTTATTCAAATATAAATATGATTTAGTTCTTCAAATATATATTACTGCATCCGGATTGATGGACTTGATTTCATCTTGACAGTTATAAAATATTGTTTTCTGGATTGTTATTTTGGGTGTACTTGATATGCCAATCGTCATATTGACAAATTGAACTAAAAGTTTTTTAGGTTCATATGTTCATTCTAGAACGTTGTTAGACATAAGTGGGTGTTTTCGGTTATCTTTAGTTTTCAACTGGTCAGTGTTAGATTCCGTAAAGTTTGGGTTCGAAAAGTTGGTTGTTTTTGAATGATTAATATGCAGTTCTTTGTATTATCACTGGTGAATATTGTCTGTAGACGTTTTTAAAACGGTTGAAATTTTTGTGAGCTAAGAAACCTTTTATATACCTTTTCAATTTTTAACCTCACATATAATGCAGGTAAAATGTCAGTCTGACTCTCAAAGCTACCCTATTGACTGGCTGTTCTCTGCTTACTTTC